TTCTTACTGGCTGAAAACACACAAAAAGGAGTTACCAGTATTGTCAGAGGGGTTCAAAAGGACCTCGCCAATGGCATGTATGGCTAAGAGCACAATCCTGCACATGCTTGCTTGGAAGTAAGTTCCATTAAGTTCAGTGGGAATTACTCCAAGTAAAATGTGTCTAGGATAGACTCAGTGACTATCCAAGTGGACATGCGGTCCAAGTTCTGTCCATTCTTTATTGGGAGTAACTCCTCCACAGAAGGATTTATTTCTGAGTCACCACGCACAGGATGAAATTTTCCAGGGGTGGGGGACTTACTTTAGAAAGAAACTTTGCAAGATTGCAATTTTGTTTTGTTTTTGGCCACATTTTGGAGTAGCAAGGTAATGTTTGCCTCTCTCTGTTTGTGTGTGTGCTTTAAAGGAAGAAAGAAAACAATAGGTGCAAAGATTAAAATGTGTGGGACTCCCCTTTCCGCAGTCAAAAGCCCCCTTCCTCGGCCTAGATCTAAAAATGAGGACCCCTTTCCATCCTGCTCCACATGGACCCCATCGTTATCCCCCACCAGTGCCCCCCCCCGGCAATTCCGCTTCCTAGCAACGGGTCTCCCAGGACAACCGGGATGAGGACCAACTTGGTACCAGCTGCTCTTTGATCCCTCCCCCACTTCTCCTGCTTCTGGTAGGTTGCAGCCTGGGGGGGAGGGGAAGTTGCCTGGTAATCTGAAATCCAGACTTAAAAATGTGTGTGTGAGGAGGTGAGCACTCTTTTTAAAAGCACAAAGGGTGGAATCAGATGTGAAAACAATACGGATTTCCTTTCCTGACACAGTGGGGCTGCCTGCCTCCCTGCCCTGGTTACTGAGAGGCAAAGGTTTTCCCAAAATCTGGCTCTTGGGTAAGGTGCTCCATCACTCTTTCTGCCTCTGCAACCCGAGAAGGAAGCGGGGAGACTCCATCCCAGCTGCTTCAAAGACCAGGCACAGGCAACTCCCTCCCTCCAACCAGAGCTTGGGTAGGAGGAGCTTCAGGCGCTGGAAGGGGAGGGGCCAAGCCCAGCGGAGCCATCCGCTCCGGAGAGCTAAGCCTGCTTCAGTCCGGAGGGGTGGGGTGGCGTCTGGGGGAAGAGATTTGATGGAGAGGCCAAACTGAAAGAACCCTGCTTGCAAACTGCTGGCTGGTCCCCTCCCAGCCCCTTGCCGGACTGCCAGGAAGGCAGGCAGAGAGACAAAGAGCCTCTTGGAGGAGGACCCAGGAGGACCGGAGGAAAAGAAAGGCGGTGGATCTGCAGAAGAAACAGGATCTGGGGACACCCTGAAGGGGTGTGCAAAAGGTCGTTGTTCCTGGAAGGGCCCTGGGAGTCTCTGAAGGCGCCAGGAATTAGATCCCACGTTCTGCAAAGGCAGAAAACAGCGGGCTTCAAGAAGGAGGGAAGGACAAACGGAAATCCAGGATCTAATGCCCTGGAGATGTCCCAACCCCAAAGGTTCTCGGGGTCTGAAAGCCAAGTCAAAAGATCTAGCACCGAATGGCCTGCCCACCAGGAATCCAGTAGGGTGGAGGATTAGAACCTGGAACTCCAGAGGGCACAGAACTGGGATATAATCTGGAACTGTCAAAGACTGGGCAACTGGAAGGGCAGGAAGCTAAAGGGTGGGTGGTGGAATCCCAGCCTCTTGGCTGGACCAATGACCTCAATTCTGGAATTTCCGGGGTAAGGTGTTTTTTTAAAAAACAAACAAACAACCCCCCTCTGGATTCTTCAAGAACTGTGGATCTAGAACTAAGATCCAGAAAAGCAAGAGAGATATCAAGATCAGAAATGGACCAGGTAGAACCTGGAATGGGCCTGTCCTGGGAGATCTAGAACCTTGGAATGAAGAAATTGAAGGGATCTAGACTTATCTGGAAACTGAGAGCTGAGTGGCATGGAACCCAGGAGTCCTGAGGGGTGAAGGGGGCCTGGAAGGAAAGTGGGGTGCATTCAAGGTCCAGGAACAGTGACCGGGACACAGGAGTTGGAGGGCAAAGCAGACTGAGCCCAGGCATTTGATTTGGGCATCTGCCACCTTGGGAGGACCTGGAGCCTCCGAGCCCAGGAAGGGTCAGAGGGAAGGTGGCCCAGCCTGAGTCCTGGTGAGCGAAAAGGGTCAAAGAGCAGAGACCCTGGGAGCAGAGAGCACCCCGAGTCACAGAGAGCTCCACTAACAGCGGCATCTTGAGGGTGGCACGGATGCCCTCTCCCATGTCTGCCTGAGCGCTGCAGCATTTCCTGAGTCTGATTCCTTTGGCTGGGGGGGGGGGCGACGGTGGGGGGGAAGGATGTTCTGCTGCCTGCATCGCCGATGCCACCTCCAGCCACGCTGAACTTTTGCTTGCCACGCAGCACCAGCCGCCGTGCAGGCGAGGGGGCTCCGCTGCGGTTGGGCCCCCCTCCATGGCACCCAGAGGAGCAGAGGGTTCAAGGGGCACCTGGGGGCCGCGATCCGGCCAGGAGAGCCTGAGCGAGAGGCTGGGGGCTCAGAGAGGCGGGGAGATGGAGCAGGATGGCCGCGGCTGCTCTCTGGGCCCCTGAGACACTGAGCAGAAGGTAAAAAGGCATCTGGGGCGAATGGATTTGGGGGGATGACAGAAATGTGATGTGCGTCTGTATGTTGGGGTGTGTGTGTGTCTAGCTGAGCTTTGTGGGAAGTTGGGTTAGGCAGTGATGGCTCCTGGAGGGGGGGGGGTTGTGGAGTGACTAATGTCCTGCAGAGGGGGACTGCAGAGTGTTTATTTAATTTTGGGGAGGGGGAGAAAACCACAAATGGGGTGCACTGGTCTTCGGAGGGTGGGGGGAGGAGAGCCCCCTTTTAGCTGTCTCTGCCTGTTACAAACCCTGGAACGGCTTCCAGAAAAGAAAAAGGAATCTGATCTCCGAAAGCTCTTTTTCTCCCACTGAATCTCCTTTCACCCCTCACCCTTTTCCTTACCCATAAAGTTGCATTGTGATGGAAATGGTGGGGGTCCCTCTCCCCACTCCTCTTTTATTCTTCTCTGACCTTTGTATTTCCATCTTGATTAAAATCAGAGCGGGGTGCCCTTCCAGTGGTGGAAAGCAGATGCTCAGTGGCAGGAAGGAGGTGGTGAAAGGGATCAGCCAGCTTCAAATTATTCCACCTCAATTGCATCCTGCCCTGGCCACTTGCCCCCCTCTTCCTGTGGCACTAGTAACAAGCCCCCCTTCCCTGGCCATCTGCAACCTTTCACCTGCACCAGCGCAGAGGCAGCGGCTGCTCCTGACTCTGCCACTAGGAGGCCCTGTTGTGCCTGGCAGGGCCAGGCTCTCCAGCCTGGAGCAGAGAAGGGAGTGCCCTGGGGGAAGGGGGGGGGGCGGAGAGGAGAGAGAGAGAAAGCGGGGGGGGGGAGAGGGAGGGAGAGATGGAGGTAGATTTGTCATCTGCTGCATCAACAGACAGGCAGAACCAAGCGCAGCTCCAAACGCAGACTAAGGTCTATATTTATGTCTGGGATTTGGATTTCAAGGTGGGGTGGGGGCACCCCAGCACTGGCAACAAAGAGCTCAGGTGTTCTGGTTGCCAAACTGAGCATGGGAACATAGGGAGCTGCCTTCTGCGGAGGGTCAGGTCAGCATTGTCCACACTGGCTGGCAGCAGCTCTTAAGGTTCCAGAGAGGGAGTTTCTCTCCCTGGAGACACCAGCAGGTATTGAACTCAGGTATGGTCCTTTCCCTAAACTTGCATCACTTGTCAGCTGCCAATGATCCCCAAACACTACCCCCACCATCCTGACTCCCTCCAACCACTAGACCACGTTGCCTTCCCTGAGCTGAGGAAGCAGGGGTGCAGGTTGCTCAGCCTCCATTGCTTCAGCTGACCATCTCCTAAAAGTCTCTTGCCAAACAGCCCAGTCCCCAGAGGCAACCATCCTGGCTCTCCCTAACCTTTTGCTTTCGTTTCTTAACCCGGAGCTAGGAGCAGAACCCAGGAGTCCTGGGGGCCAGTGACAGCGACCACACCAGCTCCTTGCTCTGAGCTGGAGGCTAGAAAGACCTTGGCGGCTGACTTCTCCCCCCAACCAACCACCCCTCCCCGTCCAGAGACATGAACACCTTCCAGCAGTCTCCATTTCCACAATGCCCTTTAATTCTCACTAGCCTGGGGAAATCAGAGGGATTTTCTTCTTCTTCTAACGGAGTTATAAATTAGGTGGCACTCCAGTCTTCCTTTTTCACCTTGACCCTGCCCTTCCCTCCTTTCCCAGCAGCGCAGGATTTAGGGCAGCTTGGGCAGCTCCCTGCACAGGGCGCCAAGCCAAGGAGGCACATAACAACAACAACAACAACAACAACAATACCTATGTTTATACGGGTTCCTACTGAGAAGATCCATTAAAAAGGAATCTGTACCAAAATGAGTTATTATGAAATTAAGAAATATTGAAGGGTGAGGGGTGCCAAATTTTGTCCTCGCTCAGGGCGCCATATTACCTAAGTCCGCCCCTGTTCCCTTACAGAACTGGAGGCAGAACACAGATGCATTTGGAGGGGGGGCTCTTGCTGAGCCTGGTGTTGAACTGTCTGCTCTGGTTTGGTTCCCAGGCTTCAGGCAGGGACAGGACTCCTTCCCATCATATGTTAGCTGAATAAAAGTCCCCCCTCCCACCTCTGCATGAGAGCAAGGGGAACATAGGAAGCTGCCTTATACTGAATCAGACCACTGGTCCATCTAAACTAGTATTGCCTGCAATGACTGGCAGCAGTGGCTCTCCAGGGAGTCTCTGCCAGCTCTACCTGGAGATGCCACTGTGGACTGAACATGGGACCTACCGCATCAAGGCGGATGCTCTACCACTGAGCTACAAAAGAAAAATTCTAGTCCTCATGGTTCTGAATAAAGGACCAATTTAAATAGCAACAGAGGAAGACGCTTTATCAGGCCATTGATTCATCTAGCTCAGTACTGTCTGCACTGACTGGCAGCAGCTCTTCGGGGTTTCAGGCAGGGATCTCTGCCAGCCCTACCTGGGGATTGAACCACAGGAGGTTTTCTGCATGTAAGGCAGATGCTCTACCTCTGATCCAGCCCAATCGCCTTCTTAATCCGGCCTGCAGACGGTCCAGGAATCAGCATGTTTTTACACAAGTAGAATGCGTCCTTTTATTTAAAATGCATCTCTGGGTTCTTTATGGGGCATAGGAATTTGTTCACCCCCCCCCCAAATATATAGTCTGGCCCCCCCACAGGTCTGAGGGACAGTGGACTGGCCCCCTGCTGGAAAAGTTTGCTGACCCCTGTTCTAGTCTAGCATCCTGACCACAAACAGCCCATCATATGGTTTAGGAAACAAGCACACATATGCTAGGCATGAAGTCAACAGCCCCTCCCCTGCTGTTCGCTCTTTCCCAAGGCAACTCTTCTTCTGAGGTAGACAGTCTCTGGACATGGGGGTTCTATCTAACTTCTGCAACAAAATAGCTGTTGATAGCCCTCTTCAGCTCCTTGGGATTTAATCTCTTCCCCTTTAAAAGACACTGCATCTTGGAGCAGTGAGTTCCACAGGTAGTAATTTGTTGGGATGGTTGAGGCACGCATACCGCTAGATGGAACATATCAATGAGCTGCTGCATGCATGAGACACTTCGTCATCTAAGCTGCCCTTCTCTTATGCAAAAATGCGCACAAGTATAGACATTTATAGGTCCACAGCAAACCCCTCTGGCATCTCCTTGGCTCCAACTATCCTTAGGACTGAGGAAACACACAAAAGGGGTGGGAGGAGATGCCAAATCTGCACATCTGCCGGGCATCTCACAGAGCATTGCTGCAGGGCCAGATACCGACTCTTGAGCATCGCAGCAGGCAGAGACGAGAGGCTGTTGCTGCGTGGGGCGCCTAGCAGGCAGGAATAAAAATAGGTGCAGCATCTCTTATAAGTCTGGCTTCTCGAAGCGTAGGAAGTGTGAAAACTTTTGAATGATGAAGGGCTGTCTTCCAGCGATGTGAAGAAGAGCTCTGTGTCGCCTGGGGTGTGTGTGCCACACTGGCACAAGTGTCCTACACTGGCCAAGATGGGTTCGGGAACAGAGATGACCTGCCCAGACTGGTGTTCCTCATAAGAACCTGTTGAATCAGGCCAATGGCCCATCTAGTCCAGCCTTCTCTTCTCACAGTGGCCAGCCAGATAGATGATGTGTGTGGGAAAACCGCAAGCCCAGTACGGTACCTACGAGGCCTGGCTCATGAATGACCTGGCACCTAGTCCTGTTTCTCCACACCTGATCACACTCGACTGCCATCTTGCTTTCTAAGGAGGGTGATGACCTGAAGCAGAGGACAGAGCATCACTTTGTCTATGCTCAGAGGTTCCCTCTATTGCTCTGCAATGTGTTTCAGGGCTGAGCCTTGACCCTGATGAACACTCTGGCTTTCCCTCTTCTGCTTGCCTTGCAGATGTTAACAAAGAGATGAAGTGGGGGGGGGGGAGTCCCAGCAGGGTTGAGGGTTCAAGTCTCAGAGAGCACATACTTTCGCTCAGTCTCTTTTAGCTTTATCTGCCCTGCCATCTTTTGAGCGCTGAGACAATACAGAACCTTTAATCCTCCACCTGGCCGGCAATTTGCAAAAGGTCTCTGGAGTTGTCACCTCTGGTGTGCCTGACCCCTCGGCCACCTGCGTTCTGGGAAAGCAGCTAGTGCAGCTGGCTTTCAAGCACGTATGTGGGAACACAGCAGATCCCCCCTCCCATTTCAACCATGGAAATAAGAGCCCCCTCCCTCCCCCACATTTCAGACCAATGACGTCTTAATCCCACCAACCACTGTGTGCTCTGCTCATTGACTCTCGTGTAGCTCATCTTCCACCAGCTGAAAGCCAGGAAGGCGCTTAATCCAAACAACAAAGGTATATTAGAGGGAATGAATGTTTCCCTCCCTTCCCCCACAAAAAATATCTCTGCAGTTCAAGATAAACTCCAGCAGCTGTAGCTTTGCATTGTATGCTGCCTTGGTGTGTAGTGGTCAGAGTGTCAGACTCGGACCCAGGAGACCAGGGTTCAAATCCCCTTCTTGGCCACAAAGCTCACTGGGAGACCTTGGGCCAGTGCCTGCCTCTCAGGCTAGCCTACCTCACAGGGTTGTTGTGAGGACAAAATGAGGAGCCACCACTTCCAGCTCCCTGGAGTAAAAGGTGGAGTTTAACTGCAATCAATCAGTCAATCAATCAATCAATCAATCAATCAATCAATCAATAGGATAAAACTAAAATGATGTGCATGCATTGACATGAAACAGAGAAAGTAACTCCCCCAGCTTTTAAGATTTAACACCTAGAACAGCTTTCCCTAACCTGGGGAGTTTCCAGATGTTTGGCCTAAGAACATTAAAACATAAAATCCAGCCTTGCTGGGATCAGGTCAGTGGCCCATCTTGGCCAGCATCTTGTTCTGACAGTGCAGGTGGGATCTGAGCGTAAGAGCCCTCTCCCCTTCTGTCGACTCCAGCAACTGGTATCAAGAAGCATTGCTGCCTCTGACCATGGAAGCAGAGCCATCATAGCTAGCAGCCATTGATAGATAGCCTTCTCCTCTATGAAACCACATAGGCTACCCCTGCTTTAGATGGTAAAATATATTACTTTACAGAATCATACGAGTTGGAAGGGACACCACGGGCCATCTAGCTCAACCCCCTGCAATGCAGGAATCCTGCCCACAGCCATCCTTTGGTGGGCTCAAACCACTAACCTTCTGGTTAACTGCCAGATGCATTATTAACTTCAAAATGTGCCAAGCCTCCCCTTTCCACAAGACCTGTGTCTGCTGACCCCTCGTGCCCCTTCTGCTGAGTGGGGCTCTGCAACAGTGATCCTGGATCCTGCCCTGATGGCATCCCACATTCTGTCCGCTGTTCCCATATCCAATCTTTCCCTAGTACGACCAAGAAACAGGGCGTAGGATGCAGCTGTGCAAATGAGGCGGCTTATTATTATTATTAAATTTATGAAATGCCTTTTCCCAGCAGATCCCAGAGCAGGTTATAATAATTTAAAATCCAGATGTGCGAAGAGTTAAAACGTACTACACTCACAGGAATTGGCGGGTGGCTGTTCCTGAAAGTGCACGTCACAGAAGTCAACAGCTGTGTAGTGAAGGGGCCCAGGAGCATCTCTGTGGAGAGGCAGTTCTACAACTTAGGGGCTGCCACAGAGAAGGCCCTTTCCTGGAACGCCAGCAGCCCAAATCCCTGAGAGCGGTGGAACAACCAAGACTGGCCCCCTCTGCTAATCTCAGCACCGAGGGTGTCTATAGGGAAGGAGGCCATCTTTCAGGAATTTGGGACTTGAGTTATCCAGGGCTTTCAACACTAATGCGAGCAGCTTGAATTAGGCCTGAAACTGTTTTTAAGCAGGGGTAATATAACTTGAGAGCTGAAGTGAGTAATCTGGCCGCTGCATATCCATCAATCTGTGACAGACATTTTTGTGCAATATAATTTGTGCTTTGATGAAGATCCTCTAGTGCTCCCCCCCCCAAACCCTGCTTTCCATCTATCTCTCCTTTTCTCCTTACTCAGGCTTTCCTTCTTATTTGATTATCTCTTCAGTGGGCATATGGAAATATGGATGGTGGTTGGATGTGCAAAAGATTCACATCTCTCTATATCTAAATATATATTAATGACTGGGAGGATTTGAAATAACAAGGGCTGTGTCAAATGAATGTTGGGGGTATTAAATGGGAATGAAAATAATGTTTTTAAAATGTTTAAAATTAGGAATATACTGAATTGTAGGAAGCTGCTTTATACTGATTATACTGATTTATACTGATATAACCACTGATTATTTTGATTATTTAATTTCTATACTGCTTAATATACAGGGGATTTGCTGCTTACTCAAGGGTTATGTTCCAGGCTGCAGCATGTGTCACTGGGATGTACAAGAGTGGGGATTCCCCCACCCTGCCCTCGCTCCATTCTGCCCCCACCCTGCCCCATTTCATTGCCAAAAACGGTGCACATGTGTGTGGTCATGCGTGACCCAAAGACATGCAAACGGGGAGTTTCCTGTGTTCAGGTATCACCTGCATTAAAAAAATATCTAACCGGTGTGCAAAAAACTAAAGTAACAACAGCAACTTAAAAAAGAAGTTGCAAAAACAAACACATATAAAAATGCTACATTAAAACAAAGTTACTAATATATAAAAATCTATTATCAATTCCTTTTCCTTCTAACACACCCTCCCTCTCAGCCTCTGGGTTCTCGCCCAGGATCCAAACAAACTCTCAGCTCACCCACGAAAGTCACACAATGAGAAGAGTTCCAGGAAACAGGAGACATCACCCTAATTTCTAAGTCTGCACTTGCTTTTTATGGGCAGGCCAAAAGTGGATGGTACTTCCTCAGCTGTGTCCCATTCAGCTGCACTCTCCACACACCCAGTTCTAGGTACAGCAGGTTTGTTGAATTTCCCAGCAGGTCCAGAAGATGGGAAAAAGGCTCCCTGCACGAAAGAGCTTTCGTCACCCTCTGCCCTCTCCTCCTCCACCTGCTGGACCAGCTAGCATGGTACTGCCTCTACTGGCTAGCAGTGGCTCTCCAGGGTTTCAGACATAGGGCTATCCCAACCCAAACTGGAGATGCCAGGCACTGAGCAAGGATATTCTGTGTTGATAGCAGATGCTCTACCCACCACATCATCTCTGTCATCTTAAAAAGCTTCTGGTCCACATGGTTCTAATTAAAGGCTGGTTTAAATGGAAGGCTGTCTTCTACCGAGTCAGACTGCTGGTCCATCTAGTGCAATATCACCTACACTAACTGGCAGTAGCTCTGAGATTTCAGCCAGGGTTTCCTCCCAATCCTACCCTAAGATGCCGGGGACTGAACCTGCTCTGCAAACGAGCTACGGCCCTGCCCCAAATTAATCTGATGCACTGGCAAGTACGCTCTGCAATTAAGAACAAATGTAAACAATCATGTACAAACATGTATACAAAAGAGAAGAGATAGAATTAGATTAATAGACTAGAATGAAGGAATGAAGAAAGGGAGCAATTTGCCACCAGACATGAAGTCCTCTCTGAGTC